CCGCCCCTCTCTGCCGCCAGCCTGGCCTCCTTCTGCTGCCGGAACCGCTGGAACAGCCGCCTGACCGGGTGATCCGGGGGCAGGATGAGCGGCGCCTCGTTCTTGCGCTTCCTGCGCTCTTCCTCCTCCCGCTTCACGTCGCTGATCTTGCGGAACACGATCTGCGGGGGAGAGGGACGCGCTGTTAGCAGGGGTGGGGCTGCCCTTCCGACGCCCTGTCCAGCTCACTGGCCACCCCGGTGCTCCTGAGCTGGTCGCGGCCCCTCGGCCCCCGAGACCTTCCTTGCACACTGCCTGGGTCCCAGCTCTGCAGCAGCGGGGAGCTGGCTGTCCTCAGGGCGCTGGAGGGGGACAAGCCCCACACTGCCCACCCCCAGGTGCTAGGAGGCGGAGCCTCACAACCGCGTCCTCCCCTCGGAGCTGCGGCCCGTGCAGCCCCTTGGCTGCTCTGCAACTCGGACACACATAGTAGGCCTTAAAACATTATGTTTCTGAACCTCCTCAGACCTCCTCCATGAGACCTTCCGGAGAAGACTCTGAGTCTGGAAAATAAAAAGCTCCCCAGGGATTCCGATGTGCCGAAGTTTGAGCCACTCTGCTCTAGCAGGGACCTGTCCTCAAGCCAGCAACTGCAGCTCCGCAGAAGGCAGCGCCCAGGGAGTTAGCGACGGTTCCTGCAGAGAAGGGGCTGTCAGCAGGGCAGACTGGAGACTCTGCTCAGGTACGCATAAGCCACAGATGACAGGGCTTCTCCCTGGGCCCGCAGCCGATTACTGGCCAGACCTGTAATTTCTAGATCACATCACATGTGACAGACTGCACAACATGTTCTGACCCAGGCCATGCCCGGCCTTGTGGGAAGCAACCTGTAACAGGCTGCTGCCTTATTAAAGCGAACTGATCCTGAGGACAGAGGTACTGAGATCCCCACTCGTGGAGGAGAGCCGCTTCCACCACCTCCTCATTCCTGTGCAGGCAGCACCCACAGGCTGCCCTGGCCCTGGGAGGCACACCAATGCCGGAGCACGGCCATTAGGGTCAGACCGACAGCCCTGTATGGTCAGGCTGGGGTCTTCCCAGCTTTTGCCCAGGAGGGGAAAATCTGTACTCTCAGAACTGACACGAAGCTGACATAAGGGGACTCAGGACACAGCAGTGTCCTCTGCAGAGACGATCCTGCTGCTCTGCCTCAGCAGGCTGGCTGCAGACAGCCGTGGCTCCTCCTCTGGCCCTCTTCCCCACTGCTCTGATGGCAGCACCTGGAGCTGTCCAGAGATCCCCAACAACACAGTCACTTTCGTGTCTCACAGAGGAGCCCAGGAAGCATGAACTGCTTCGTGCCAGCGGTCGGCCAGTGTCCCCGCCCCAGACAGACTGGGGGCTGGCATCTGTGCTCTGCCACTTGCTCAGAGCTCCTGTCCCCAGATGACTTCCTCCCGAGGTGTTAAACCTTCGGGCTACTTCCCTGGGTCCCAGGCCGTCGTTTTTGGTCCTACACCGAGCAGCATTTCTCCCATATCTTATCTGCCTTCTCCCTGGCGTCCTCAGCTGTGATGTTGCTGCCCTGCCTGCCGACTCCCAAGGAGGAATGGCGAGAAGCACAGCTGCCCCTGCCCTTGTCGTCCAGTCCCTGTGCCCAGGGTCAGTGACCGGAAGTCCTCCCTACCGTGCCTCGGGCATCCAGCAGTTCCTGAACAACATACCAGCTGTTTCCATCTTGGCCCCTCTCAAAGCTACCCAATGGCTTAGAATTATACTTTGTCACATTGCGTCTTTTTGTTTCTAAAAATTATGTGCTTTACAAAAGCAGACTTTCTCTTGTGCTCAGTATCCTCAGACTGTGCCCGACAACTGAGGTGTTCTCATTGAAATCTGTTGAAAAAGTGGTAAAATCCTGGTAAATATGGGCAGGTGTCAGTGGAACAATGTCTCTGGCCTAGAGCGCTGAGCTCCAGAGCTCATAGTGTCATAAAGGGAAGGAGTTGGCTCAGAACACACACGGTCCTTGGTTAACTCTCCATGACGCAGGTCGGGGCAGCCCTTAAGACTCGGAGTGCCCTGAATCTAGGAAAAGGGCTTCATCAGTGTCGAGGAGGCAGCGCAAGCGGATCCGATTCAGCAAGGCTGTGTGCAGCAGGCAGCGGTTCACCAAGGCGGGCCAGGTGACTGGCGGGTGCTCCACAGTGCTGCAGCCCGTGGCCCAGCTTGGCGTCCGGGGCTGACCAGGCGGCACCCTCACGGCTCACGGCTGCATCG